TGGTTTTAAATACTACTTTATGTTAATAACTCCCACATGGATATAACCAGTCTAGAAGTCTTCCTGAACACCAAACTCCTGTATCCAATTTCCTACTTCAATGTCTTACAACCCCCTCAAACTTAGCATGTTTGTGGGAGATTGTCTACAAAGATGGCTGCCAACAATACCTCCTGTCTGAGTTTTCCTAGTGATTAGATTCAGGTTATAGATCTTTGGCAGGAATAATATGGAAGTGGAGTTGTCATCTTCTCATTGCATTCTTTCAGGAGGCACATGATTTCAATTTGTTTTGGCACTGATGGTTTTACCTTTGATTTCTTGATTAAGGTGGTGTCTGCCAGGCTTCTCCACTATAGTTACTTTCCCCCCACCTTTCTAAATAATAAGTGTTTTGTAGGGAGTTACTTAGAGATGGTCAATATCCCATTCTCTACCAAATTGTTTGTTCATTTATTTATATTAGCATTGGTTCATGGTTTCTTATTTTATCAAATGAGTTATAATCCATTATTATTATTTATTTTAATGTTGAAATTGTTCCAGCTTTGGCTAATGGGAGCCCCATCAAACAGGCTCTGTGTCCTTTGGACACGTCCCCATGATTCTTTGAGCACCAGCCTGCTTTCTGGAATGTTACAGACTCATCTTTTTCCCCCCCAAAATATCAAGGGGGTACAAATGTTTTAGGTTATATGGATCACTTTTGTACTGCTTGAGTCCCAGCTAAAGGTGTGTCTGTCTCCCAAATAGTGTTCACAGTACTCATTAGGTAGGCTTTTGCCCCTCTCCTCCTCCCCCCTGGTTGATTTCCACTAAGTTTTATTTCTCTTTGTGCACATGTGTGCTAATCAGTTCCAACTTAATAGACAGTACATGTGGTGCTTGTTTTTCCATTCTCGAGACACTTTGCTTAGGAGAATGGTCTCCAGTTCTATCCAGATTATTGCAAAAGGTATTAATTCATCTCCTTTTATGGCTGAGTAGTATTCCATGGTGTACGTATACCACATTTTATTAATACACTCATGAATTGATGGCCACTTGGGTTGATTCCACATCCCAGGCTCATCTTATACTTTGCCCTGGAATTAGCCATTAGCCATTTTCTTTTTCTTTCTTTCTTTTTTTTTTTTTTGAGACTGAGTCTCACTTTGTTGCCCAGGCTAGAGTGAGTGCTGTGGTGTCAGCCTAGCTCAGAGCAACCTCAATCTTCTGGGCTCAAGCGATCCTACTGCCTCAGCCTCCCGAGTAGCTGGGACTACAGGAATGTGCCACCATGCCCGGCTAATTTTTTGTATATATATTTTTAGTTGGTTGATTAATTTCTTTCTATTTTTGGTAGAGACAGGGTCTCGCTCAGGCTGGTTTTGAACTCCTGACCTCCAGCGATCCACCCGCCTCTGCCTTCCAGAGTGCTAGGATTACAGGTGTGAGCCACCACGCCCGGCCAGCCATTTTCTTTTAATGGAGAATGGTATTTAGAAGCCAAGATCTGGACACTAGTTGTGCTCATTGCTAATGAGGTGATAATGTTTCCAGCTTCTCACAATGGACAAAGCTAGGGAATGTATTTATTTCTATATCTATCTATATATATTGAAAATCTTGAGTTCACACTGATATTTATGATTTTAATCCAATATTAGTTTCTTTTAGTTTTCTCTCTTTCCATATTTATAACTCCATTCTGCAACAATGAGAAATCTGGCTTCCTTTATCCTAAATGTGTTTACTTATTTGATCAGTACCCAAATATACAGCCAATCTTCTATCATTGCTACTGGCCCTTTCCCCAGGTGGATGAACTGCTTATTCCACTTAGGATCTGACACACTGCATTAGACTGCCCTCCTTATTCTGTCCTACATGAGGCTGTGATGCTGGGCCACCCCTACAAACATCCCTATCTATGAAATCTCATCTCAACCCAGGCTCCTGGGCTCCCCATAGTCACCACTCCCCTACCTTACATTCTAGCCACACAGGCACATGCTGTCCTCACTAACTCATTCTTACCTTAGGGTTTTAACCTCAACATTACTTTTTTTTTGAGACAGAGTCTTGCTCTATTGCCCAGGCTAGAGTGTCAACATTACTTCTATCTGGAACTCTTCTCCCTAAAATGTCCCATAGCTGGCTCCTTCCTTATGATTTAAGTCTCAGCTCAAAGCCTCACCTGCCCTAAGAGGCTCTCCATGATAATACTATCAATTATCTTCCTAAATTACTTTTGAACTCATGCCTTTTGTTTCCACGGTAACCAGAATTATCTTGGTTTTCCTTATTTTCTAACTCTCTCTCCCTATGAGAGAATATGAGTTCTATGAGAACACAGGCTTTGTCTATTTTATCACTGAATCAACAGCACCTAGAATAATAGGTACTCAGTATTCTTGAATTAATGAGTGAAAAAATGCACAATTCCACTCTTACCTTTCTGCTTTTAAGAAATGCTTATAAGGGTGACTGGATTTGCAGAAAGAACATTGATCTTAATAGTCAAACAGCCCTGGATTTTAATCCTAAAGAGCTGTGTGACTTTAAACCATTGACTTTAATCTTGAGTTTGTTTCTTGTTATAAAAAAAAAAAAGTGACATTAAAACCTACCTTGCAGGGTTGTTGCTAGAATTGAAAACAAGATCACACATGTGGAAACATCAAACACAATATTTGGCATCCAATAAGGCTGTGGTTCCCAAACTTTGTTGCACAATGGAATCGCCTGGAAATCTGATGCCTGGCTTCCACATGCAAACATTATAATTTAATTGGTATGAGGTGCAGTCTGGTGGTTGGATCTTTAAAGCTCCCCATTGATTCTAAAATGGGCAGCAAAGTTTGGGAACCACTGCAATTAAGACTATTTCTGATAATTAAATAAAATAGCATGGCAAATTCAGGGTGAAGATTTTAGGAGTAGCACTCCAGTCATTGGTGTATATCTGTGCTTAAATCCAGCTCTCCTTCCAGAAAGCCCTCATAAGATTACATTTAACAACTGCAGATTAGCTTGCTTCTCCTTCAAAGTCAACAGTGTACATATTTATCCAGAGATACAAGATGAGGCTGGAGCCTGAAACTTCCTGCTTTTTCACATTGCTTAGGTAAAAAGATGGTAGTTGTAAGACCTGACTTCTCGTATCATATACAGGTATGCACCACCATGCCCGGTTAATTTTTTCTATATATATGTTTTTAGTTGTCAAGCTAATTTCTATTTTTTTAGTAGAGATGGGGTCTTGCTCTTGCTCTGGCTGGTCTCGAACTCCTGAGCTCAAATGATCCACCCACCTCAACCTCCCAGAGTGCTGGGATTACAGGCATGAGCTACCACGCCCGGCTGAGGACAGGAAATTTTTAAGGCAGTGAAATTATTTTGTAAAATATTGTAATGATGGATATATGACATTATGCAAATGTCAAAACCCATAGAATATGCAATACAAAGAGGGAACCCTAATGTAAACTATGGACTTTGGTTAATAATAATGTATCAAGGCCGGGTGCTGTGGCTCACGCCTGTAATCCTAGCTCTTGGGAGGCCGAGGCGGGCGGATTGCTCAAGGTCAGGAGTTCAAAACCAGCCTGAGCAAGAGCGAGACCCCATCTCTACTATAAACAGAAAGAAATTAATTGGCCAACTGATATATATATAAAAAATTAGCCGGGCATGGTGGCGCATGCCTGTAGTCCCAGCTACTCGGGAGGCTGAGGCAGAAGGATCACTTGAGCCCAGGAGTTTGAGGTTGCTGTGAGCTAGGCTGACGCCACGGCACTCACTCTAGCCTGGGCAACAAAGTGAGACTCTGTCTCAAAAAAAAAAAAAAAAAAAAAAAATAATGTATCAAGATTCATCAATTATAACAGATATAACACTAATGCAAGATGTTAATATGGGAAACTGGATGAGAAGGGGATATTTGGAAATAGTCTTTATTTTCTGCTTAATTTTTCTGTAAACCTACAATTGCTCCAAAAAATAATCTATTAAAAAAAAAAGAGTAAGCTGAAAGTTGTTTTTGTATTGTGCTAATAGGGTATCTCTGAAAAGTAACTTTTTCATTGCTCCATTAAATCAGCTTAGTAACAAACTACATCCTATCATGTCAATCTATCATCCTAATTTACATTTTAGGCAATGGCTAGTTTTCATCCTAATTTATATGTTTTAGGCAATGACTGATTTTCAGTATTTAATAAAAAAAATAACTTTATAGCATTCAAAAACCCATATTGAATTTTATTTTAATTAATGAAATGAAAAGTCTGCTTCTGCTTTTTAAAGCAACTTTTAAAAATGTAATGCCACTACTCTTTTATGCTACATGCTGGAGGTGAAACACATTTCTCCATAATCTTTAGAAAATGCTTATACTACAAAAATCATCCAATCTTTAAAAATTTTTTAAAAGCCAGTCTTCTTTTAAAATGCCAGTCTTCTTCATGATTGATAAATTCATCAGTCCATACAGAAATGCAACTCGATTTCACAATCTGAAGAAATGTTTTCTATATGTATTGGTACATAGATGTCAGGAAACAGAATTTTAATATAAATGAGAACAATGAGAGCATAAGATTTATAAATGTGTAAAATTAGTCAAATTTTATTATACAACAAAAAAACAAATCTGGCTAATGGCTCACTTATGCCAAATAGTACTAAAAACAGAACTGTCGCATATCCCCAAACCAATTTGTTTTGGTTATTTTTAACTGTATAGTAGTTCTCATTAAAAAAAAAAAGTACAGAGAAAATATTTTTTAAACCCCACCAAATTACATGTAATAATTGAAGTTTATGCCAAGATATTTTTCTTTAAGAATGAAAATGATAAAGCAAAGAATGTGAAAATTCTAAAAAACTAGATTAGAAATGTTAATAAGAAATGAATTTTGGCAAATTGAGGTCTTAGCTGGCTCAAACTCCAGCATCAGAAAGAGACTCTGTAAGTGCCTATAAGATCAATGGAGTGGGAAAGAGATTTTTTCCTGTATATTGGCAGTTTTCCCATCAGTGATTTACTAATGAATAGGAGCAGCTTAAAGCTGAAAATGTGCTGCTGAATGGTTGGAAAGGACTATTAGACTCTGAAAATTTCTAGTACAACTACACTGAGAAGAAACATTATTCTCAGCCTACAGAGTCTATTCTCAAATAGAGAAATATTCCCTATTAAAATTAGTCTTAAAATATAAAATATTTGAAAACACAGAAACACCTAAAAAAGGAAGAAAAATGGAAAATACTGAAAGGTACATGAGCAACATGATTTACATTTAGCTACATTAAAAGTATTGTCTTTTATTCTAAAAGTTCTATTTACAAAGTATGCTTACATTGTACTTTAAAAGACATGTATTAAATGTAAATAAATCATTATAGCAATTTTATAAAAAGATTCATAGCCTTTAAAACATTTGTCATTATTAAAAACATTAAAAGGCGATAAACTGTCATTGCGGTGAAAGAGCACGTGATCTTAAGGGAAGAAACATCTCACTAGAGTTTCCACAAGTTCCTTCTTCTTCTAGCTGCAGCTCTGGTGGCAAGGGAGGAGCCCCAGGGTCTCCAGGTCTAGGAAGCGTAGTTGAAGAAAAGATAGTATTTTCAGTTCTGCCTACTTCTAGAACAGGCAAATTCAGAGAAGAATCAGTAGAAAAAAAGGGGGCCGTGCTGGATTCTCCTTCTGGATGATATATGACAGTGGATGCTCTTAGTTTTTCAGAGAAATTACTCTCATCTGAATTTGATCTAGACAGGTTGTTCGTGGCTCCATCTGGAAAAGGCTCACAGCTGCTACATTTCAGTCCTATAATGGAAATTTATAAATTCTATCATAAATCCACTTTAATCTTACTTGCTCTTCTCAACAACCATGAAGTATACTATTATTTGCATTTTCTAGATAAGGAAATAATCTCAAGGAAGTTAAATGTCACGCTATAATTCACATTTAAAATACACTATACTCATATACTTAACCACTGAAGAATCTGGAAAAAATAAAGCAGCTTCTAAAATAAAAAATACCTTTTACAACTAATAAATGCTCTTTAGCATTCTGGCACAAAAAATATTAGCCAATTAAAAACAAAATTTAAACAAGGCAGATGCTAAAATTCTATGAGTTGTTTACTGGCAATTACTGATTTCTGAATCATAGGATTCAACTGAAAGATTTTATAGATCATCTGAGATACTCTCTGTTAGAGATGAAAAAACAGAGGCACAGAAGAGTTAAGTCATGCCCAACATTCCAGGACTATTTTGTGGTAAAGTGAGAACTACAATTAAATAGATAATGCCCTGGTTCTCAACCTAATGGTTTATTCAAATGACAGTGGTTGTTCTTATCTACTATGGTTTGAATGTGCCCTCCAAAAATTCACATGTTGGAAACTTGGTTGCCATCCTGGAGGTTTTAAGAAGTAGGGCCTTTGGGATGTGATTGGGTCATTAGGGCTCTGCCCTCATGAATGGATTAATGCCGATATCTCAGGAGTATAGATCTACCCCTTTCCTCTGTATTGCTCACTCTTGCCCTTCTGCCTTGAGATGACCCTTGCCAAATGCTAGCACCATGCTCCTGGACTTCCCAGCCTCCAGAACTATGAAAATAAATTTCTTTTCTTTATAAATTGCCCAGTCTCAGGCTTTGTTATAGAAAATGAACTAAGATACTATCAAAGAATTTTATCATATCCAAAGGGAATAGCTAACAATTATCCACAGGATTGAAGGAATAAACACAAATACAATTTATCTTTCTGTTAAGCTTAGAAAATATTCTGTCTATAGGCAAGGAAATTCTGCAGTTGAAAAATCTTAAAGTCTATAAAGTACATTTACATGTCATTTTTTCCACTAGTTTTTCAACTTAACAATACATTCAGTACTTCTGTCCTATTCTATAGAAACTATTTTCTCATATATGGCTCAAATGGGGAAACTTCTAATGTGTCCCAACAAGAACTTACAGACTGTGAGTTCCTTAAGGAGCCCTACATTACTCTGTACTCCACAATGCCTAGAACAGCTGGAGAACCACATCACATGCACATTTAACTTATGTGCTCTGGAGAGAGAGAAGGAAACTGGGGGAGTGGAGGGGTGGGGATTTAAACTGTGTAGGCAATTCTATACAACATTCCAATCAGTGAGCGTGTGCTTTGGAGGGAGGGTGAAATGGGAGAGGTAAATGTTGTATTCCCTTAATTGATCTCAGTTCTCATGCCTCTCACACCTTGCCAGACTGTGATCCTAGTGTTTACAGTCATGAACATTATGTAACATGATTCCTATAAACATATGCCGACTACTTCATTTTGTGATCAACTAGTGGGAGAAAAGCTAGCAGAGCTGGATTAAAATACCTTGCTTAAATACTGTTCTTTATGTGTGCTGCACAGTATTTTCAGAGGTTACTTTTGAATAGATTCATATTATATTCTGCTGACTTTAGAAACAAACTCTTGTGTATACAGGGATTTCACGATAGTTTAAGTTTTCTATAAATGGTACTGTTAAATGAATATAAATACAAGATTTGTTTTGTTTTCACTTTTGCATTTTTAAAAAGCATTGTTACATATGAATTAAGCCTTAAATATCTAAGATATCTTACCTTTCAGATGCTCTAGTTTTATATTTCTAAGTTTTAGCACTTCATCTGTAATCTTCTGTATCAGGAAGTTCTGTGTTTTTTCTCGCCGAATAGATTCAACAAGGGTGTCTAGTCCTTTGGGGTTTTCTTGTAAGTAGTCTAACAATTTTCCAGCCCTTTTCCTACTTGATGTTCGGCAAGAAATTTCTTCAGTGTCTTCTCTACTGAGTATTTTTTTTGCACGAAGATGATCAAAATGTCTCTCAGCTATGATTTTCTCACACAAGTATACTCGCAAATTTTCTAAAGCCTAAAAGACATAAAATAAAATATGCTTCAATGTTATTTTGTAACACCTAAGAAAATCACATAGGTGACTGATTATTAGTTAGAAGTTTGGTGTGAGACAATGTTCTAAAGGCAGGAGCTTAGGCCCTCTAAAATACATGCTAGTTAAGATGAAGATCCAAGTAGACACAAGTAGGCCCAGACATTCCTCACTGCTCTGATCTAATCTTCACAACTAAAATGGAAGACCAGCCTCTTGTGAAGAGGGGCCAGCCAAATCTAGGGGGCCTGGTTCCTTGGAAATAGGGAGGGCTGCTGAGGGCCACCTTCGGGAAAGATGAGAACAAAGACTACTATGTATTTTAGGTACCCTTTAGCAAGCAATTCAGGACCAGGGAGGATAACTTAATTAGAGGCCTCAAAGTTTATAACTTTGTCATGTTTGTTATTATTCTATCTCCCTAGAATAAAACAGTTAAAAACAAAAAACAAAACAAGGCACATGAACTAAAAGGGCCCATAAATGTTATCTGTCTTGGGGGTAAGTTAGAGAGAGAACACTCTAACTCAGTGAATCCGTCTTTGTGGAAGGGAAATAGAAGGCTGCGTAGGGAGAAAAACATAAAGAACAGTGAATGTTGGAAAAAACTGAAGAAGAAAAAAGAGACCATAAAAAACAAGCCTAGACCTGAGAAGTACCACCTCAGGGGTTTATTAGCAGAAAATCCATGGTGGTCTCAATAAATGACATTAATGGTTTGATGCCAGTGACTGTATTTTGATAGGGAGTTAACTTATCCCAGAGGATAAGTTACTTAACTCTCCTGTGCCTGTTTCCTTATCTGGCTGTTATGAAGAATATATAAATTAATATAGGCAAAGTGCTTAGAAAGCGCTTGGTACACAGTAAGTGATCAATACATGTTGGTAATGATGACAAAGCTAAAGGCAATGGAAGATCTTAGATGTAGCCTAGTGTTTGGTGGCAAGAGAGTAAGCTAGGTAAAGGGTTCCTGTGGTTCTAGATCTATTCAACTCTCACATTCATTTATTTATTCACACATTTTACATATCTCAATTCCTAATCTGCCAAGTGCTAAGCACTGAGTATGCAAAGATGAATATGATTTGCAAAGGGATTACAGTTTAGCTAGGGAATATATATTACACACGTTAATTGTAAGACAATGTGATATGGCCCAGAAAAAAGATTAGAGGTCAAGTACTAGGGAAGCACAGAGTGAGCAACTAACTCTATTTCCAGGACCCAGGAGATTTAAAACCTCATTGGTTGTCATTTTTACCACCTATATGCTGATGATTCCCACATTTATGTGATTCAGACTTTTCTAGACAATCCAAAAGTACTTCAAATTCAACATGCCCAAAACCAAGTTTTCTTCCCCTCTCCTTTTCCTTTGATACTGTCAGCTCATTTGGGAGTACCACCATCCATCCAACCCATCTATAAACCAAGAACTCATCTCTGACTCTTCCTCTTTCATTCACTTGCCGCATGTGATCACCCACCACCAAATCTGCCAACCTACCACTTATTATATCTAGTTTGCTCCTTCACTTCATGTCTATTTTTAGCAATGCACTAGATCACTCTTTTTTTTTTTGAGACAGAGTCTTGCTTTGTTGCCCAGGCTAGAGCGTCAGACTAGCTCATAGCAACCTCAAACTCCTGGGCTCAAGCAATCCTTCTGCCTCAGCCTCCCAAGTAGCTGGGACTACAGGCATGCGCCACCATGCCTGGTTAATTTTTTATATTAGTTGGCCAACTATATATTAGTTGGCCAATTAATTTCTTTCTATTTACAGTAGAGACGGGGGTCTCGCTCTCGTTCAGGCTGGTTTTGAACTCCTGACCTTGAGCAACCCGCCCGCCTCAGCCTCCCAGAGTGCTAGGATTACAGGCGTGAGCCCAGCCAGATCACTCTTTATTATGTTTCACATGGACTACTAACACAAACCTAGCTATACTTAACTATTTCTTTCCTCCTTCTCAAATTTGTCCATTATGCATCTATTAGATCTCCCAATTTTTCAAGAGAAAATGGAAATCTGAAGTGTTATATGTCATTAAGTTTTCAAAAATTTAGAACACTGTGTTCTTCCCCTGACTTAAAGGATACAGTTCCTCAACTATGGCAGAATAGCAGAAAAGTTAAAAGCATGGCTCTAGAATTCGACCAATCTCCGTTTAAATCTTGAATCTGCCATATATTCTTTGATATCTGGTGCAAGTTTCTTCACTATTCTAAGCTTCAGGTTCCTTATTAATTAAAACAATGATTAAAAGCTTAACTTATAGGACAACTAAGAGGGCTAAATGAGATAGTGTATATGAAGGCTTGGCACAGTCTCTGATACACAGTAAATGCTCAAAAAATAGTAACTTCGATTATGGCAGACAAAGTTCTTGATAATATGGCTCCTGCCTACCTCTCTATCTTAAACTATCACTACCTCTGTCCTGGAACTTTATGCTCTATCCAAAAATGTTGTCTGAGACTCTACATTTCTTTGTTGTTACCTTTGTCTTGTTTTCTTTTCTCATACCCTATCTATTTCCCTATTCATCCTTTAAGATTCAGGCCAGTGATCATCTCCTTTGGAAGGCTTTACCTACATACTCCCCAGAATGAGTTAGGAACCCCTCTCCTCTGTCCCTGTGGCATCCTGTGTATATATTTCACCTTTTTATTTACCAGGACTTCACCTCATCTCCCAATTCATTCCCAGACATTTCTATTCTGCCCCACTACTCTTCTCAGAGTCACCAATGATCTCCTTATTACCAAATATTTTCAGTCTTCATCTACTTGACTTCTCAGCAGCATGAACATAGCTGACCACTCCTACCCCGAAACACTCTTCTTGTTGTACATCAATACCACATTCTCCTCATTTTCTTCTGATCTCTGTGGCTATAATTTCTCACACACTTTTAAAAACTCTTCTCTTTAGCCAGGCATGGTGGCTCATGCCTACAATCTCAGCACTCTGAAAGGCCAAGGCTGGATTGCTTGAGGCCAGGAGTTTGAGACCAGTCTAAGCAAGAATGAGACCTTATTTCTACAAAAAAATAGAAATATTAGCTGGGTGCGGTGGCATGTACCTGCAGTCCCAGCTATTAGGGAGGCTGAGGCAGGAGGATCGCTTGAGCCCAGGAGTTTGAGGTTGCAGTGAAATATGATGATGCCATTGCACTCTAGCCTGGGTGACACAGTGAGCCCCTGTCTCAAAAAAACAACACAAAAAACCTCTCTTCTCTTTAAAAGGTTTCAAAACCCTTTTCTCTCCTACCTGTCAACTTCCTATGTGAAATCATTCAATCCTACACTTACATTTCTAGTGCAGATCTCTCTTCTGATCTTTAGACTTGGCAGATCTCATTGCTGATTTGAAATTTCCACTTTCTAATCTGATTCCATTCTCTTCCTCAACTCTCACATTCAATCCATCACCAAGTCCTATCTGTCATTTCTATTTCAAAAATGCATCTGGAATTCTCCTGCTCCATCCATCTCCACTGCCTGATCCAAATCATCCTGATCCAAATCATCATAATTTTTCATCTATATGAATTCCAAGAGTCTCCTCACTGGTTTTCCTGTTTTCACTCTTATTTTCCTTAGCCCACAGAAAAGGCAGAGTGATCTTTAAAAAAATGTAACATAATTCTTCAACAAGTCCCTACTACCTTTGGGAGGTAAAAAAAAAAGCCCCAAACACTTTACTACCATCTACAAAGCCTTTCGTGAACCATCTAGCCTACCTTCCTAACTTCACTTTAGGTTACCCTCTGCCTGCTTCCAATTTCCCTAAGTCACCAAGGTCTTCCCTGTTTTAGGTTCTTAGCAAATTCTACTCTGCCGAGAACGCTCTTCTCCCAGTTGTCATATCCCTTAGGAATCAGTTTAAATGTAACCTACCCTGATCATCCTGTCTCCAGCAGATGCCCCTGTTTATTGTCTTAGCACTGTGTGTCTCCTTCACAGAACTTACCATAATTTGTAATTCTACATTTATATGTTTTCAACTCTAGTCACCTACTTTTGAAGCAGGCAGGAACCAGGTACATTTTGTTCATTCAACACTGTATATCCTGCACTTTCCAGAGCACCAAGTAAGATAGTGTTTTGGATAAATGCAAAATTCACTGCATTTATTTTGTGATTTAAATTATCATTTATGTCTGTCTCCTCCCTCCCCCCGAAAAAATTGAGCTATTTTCAAATTAGGATTGTTTTAGTTTTAAATTTTTGAACCTTTAGAACCATCTACAGTATCAACCTCACAGTAACATGTAATCAACATTTATTAAATTGAACTAAATCCAACTAAACAGATGAAATAAATAACTAGTTGGGGAAAGGGGTAAGAGATAGTGAAGAAGTGGGAGTTACCAGGAGGATGGCTGGTGGTACACCATTCATCAAGCCAGAGAATATAATATAGCAGGAGCACCAGGCAGCTTTGGGGAAGGACTGACAAGGTAAGCAATCTATAGGATATAAAAGTAGCTTTCTAGTAGACATTTATAAATAAGGGCCTACAGCTCAGGGAGAAGGAGGTCCAAAGATGTGGATAATTTTAAAACTTCTAAGATCATAAAACATTTTGAAAATACCATGGAAAAATCTCTAAGAAAAAAAGCATGCACACAATTTTTTCATAGACCCTCTGAAACCCATCCATGGTTTCTTCAAGCTTACGAATTTCTGATATAGATGTAAACTGAAACCTTGAAGATGCATAATATCAATGAACCAATAGAAAAGTAAAAGCCTGCAAACCACTCTTCACACCTGTATATGTGTTCAGGTCTTATTTCCTTCCACCTGTAATGTCTTAGATCCTGTTTTATCAGTTGTAAAATGGGAATGGCAATTTTCTCCGTTAGAGGTTGCTGTAAAGATTAAGGAGGAACATTGTAAATTGTGTGACACAGCATCTGGAACATAACAGGCCTGGCTCTTGAAGTTCACGGTTTTACTGGCTCTCATCTTAAATAAGACAACATTTATTTATTCTATAGTAGCTATCAATGTTCCTGTCTTATCTCAACTAGAATGCAAAGCAGGGCCAGATCTTCATTTTTTTGTATCATTCCGGGCCCAAGCATAGTACATTCCATGTAGTGAAGTGCTCCATAAAACTCTACTGAATGAGGAAACTAAGTCCCAGTCATATCCAGCTTCCTTCTGCTGGTGAGTCATACCAGTTGTAATTACGAGTACAGTGTAATAAACCTTACAGGGGTGGGAAAAGGAAGGGATTTGGAGTAGATGAATTATTTTAAAAATTGCTGTCCTGTCCAGTTCACAAAGGTGATTTTGTAAAAGTACTGTGGTGTTAAGTAAGAATACACTTTATGTTGAGTTTCTGTTTTTAATTTGAATTAACATAAAGTATTTTAGTGGTACTCATATAGGTCTCATCTGGCAAAACAACTAAAAGCAACGGAAAAAGAAATGTCATACCTCAACAAAGTCATTCTTTACAAATTAATATTAAGGTTTGTGCAGCTCTGCACTATCCAAGCAGAAGAGCATTAATTTAGCTACTGCATAATTTCAACGTTTACCTGTACATTAATTCTCAGCTACATGCATTCATTTCCCCCCCTGCCCCATTTAAATATGCGGGCGTTTGCTTACTAGGGGAATTCCGGGTTGTGCTTTCAGCTACTGAGCTTCCCCCAGCCCCTTTTGCAAAAGAGTTTCACGTTTTTGCTCCATCGCTTGGGATCCTTTTGTTCTGGGCTGAGACAGCAGCCAAGGCAGTCTGTCTCAAGGATGAATCTGAGCCGCCGATCCCTAACAAAGTAGCTCCAAGAGCGCACTGAGGGGAAATCACAATGGGACGGGAGAAGGGTGGGTAAGCTGACTGCGAAGAAACGCTCTGCTGGACAAGGTCTCAAAAACTCAAGCCCTGCGTTCAGAGATTTAAAACGTAGATTAAAGGTTACTGGACAACCACTTCTGCCACAGTCCCTTGGATGTAGGGCGTGCCGCAGTCTTCCAGTGCCCAGACCTTCCGCTCCTCCCGCCTACAGGACCCTCCTCGTCCTTAGACTCGGACTCCGGGTTTCCGCTTTCCTCTCCCGTGGGGCTGCAGCCCGCCCCCGCCCGCCCGGGGTCCTCAGCGGCACCTGGGCAAGGTCGCGCTACTCACATCCTTCTTCACTTCAGTTAGGTCCTCCTCGCTGAGCGACGGCGCGGTGGGCTCCATGGTGGAGGCGGGAGATGGCGCTTCTTCCGGGTCTGGGAGCTTGGGTTGCGCCGCCCAGCCCTGGCCGGAGGCTTCGGCCTCTGGGCAAGGGGGAGGATAGGAGGCGGAGCGGGTCGCGAGGAAGAAAACAGCCCTTACGAAAACCGGGGGTCTCGGGGGGTCAAACCGTAGAGCTTCCGGCTCTGCCTCCGAGGCCGACGGCGCTGCTACTTGACGCGTCGCGCCGGGGAGCTCAGAACTCCGCTCCTTTCCTGTGCTAGAGGATCAGGCACAGGCACCGCCCCTCGGCGAGGAGGGTCCGTCGGCAGAGCCCGCCCCAATCCCTCCGGCAGCCAATCGATGTCAGCCCGCGGGCCAATCCCGTCCCGTCCCTGGGCCGGAACATTCCGGGAGGCTCCGCCCACAACGAGCGTCACCTCAAACCACGCCTCCGCAGGTGGTAGGCAAATGACCTCGGGTTCGTCTCCCAAAAAGGAGTCGTTTCCGTGGGTGGGGCTCGTCGCCGCTAGGCAGCCGATACTGCCGGCCCTCACCAACTGCTCACTTTGGTGGTGTGCGGTCTAGGCTTGTCAGTGCTTTGGGATTCCTCCCTTTTTACCAGACCTTGCTCTACAATTTCCTGTTGCTGTGTTTGCCCAGTCAAGTTTTTAAATTCCTGTTTTGGTCACACACAAACAGCCTAACTACAACATTAAAGACAGTTTTGGAAAGAAAACCACCTATAATCCCCACTGCTTTAAGAGCTAGTTAAACGTTTGTATATTGTTTGGTCACTGTTCAACATAAACTATTTTTTTTCCTCATTAATTAGTGTAATGGAGATATGCTTAACCTCCGAGGGCTGCTGGGATTATAAAGTTCTTAGAGGTACTTGGCACACAGTACACATTTATTTATCATTGTCTTTTATTACTAAAACATTTCTTTTTTTTTTTTTTTTTTTGAGACAAAGTCTCACTTTGTTGCCCAGGCTAGAGTGAGTGCCCATGGTGTCAGCCTAGCTCACAGCAACCTCAAACTCCTGGGCTCAAGCGATCCTCCTGCCTCAGCCTCCGGAGTAGCTGGGACTACAGGCATGTGCCACCATGCCTGGCTAATTTTTTGTATACATATCTTAGTTAGCCAATTAATTTCTTTCTATTTATAGTAGAGATGGGGTCTTGCTCTTGCTCAGGCTGGTTTTGAACTCCTGACCTTGAGCAATCCTCCTGCCTCGGCCTCCCAGAGTGCTAGGATTACAGTCGCGAGCCACCGCGCCCAGCCCCCAGACCATATTCTAACTACTGATAGCAATGTATGCAAAGCAACCAGAGAAATGTGGGTGAGAAGCTCCAGATAGAGCCCTGAGCCCAAGATGGTTGTTTGGACAACATGCTAAATAAACTGGATGGTATTTGAAGCTACAGAGTAGATAAAAATGACAAGAGGACCAAGGACAAACTTGGAAACCCAAACATTTAAGGGAAGGGAAAGCAAAAGAATCAGAAAAAAAAGAACAATGCTGCTAAAGCCACAACGATGTAGCTTTGATCACAACCTAGGGATTTTTTTCTTTTTGCCAGAAAAGACTGGGATTCTTTATTCAATCAACAAACTTATGTTCCTCAAATCCCAGGCCATGGTTGGCAGCCTCCTTTCTCTGTCCCCACACCCCCACCCCTTAGCCACAGCGAAGGGAATGGAAAATGAGAAGCCACAAGGGCCTCTGCCAGGGAAGGCTGCCCCAGATGTGTGGTGAGCGCAGTCCAGCTGTGGCTGAGGTGGCAGCTGCCACAGGCTCCTCCCTATAAATTAAGTCCCTGCAGCCACAGCTGTGGGAGAGGCATATTTGTAGAAGGAAGGCCAGAAGGCAGCATCCCTGACTCCCAGCCAAGGAATGGATGGAGGGCACAGAGCTCAGGGGCAGGAGAGGCCAGAGGGAAAGAGGACAGGCATAGGGGCAGAGGGAGAGGTCCCCAAATTTTGGTTCCAGGGGAAAAGAAGAGGCCAGCTGGTCCAGTTTTGATTGGTGTGGGGGAGGGAATGTATTAGTAAGCACAAGGGAGAGGCCGCCATCGAGCACCTCAGAAGTGACAGGACAGGCTGGATCCTCGCCCTGGCAGACGGGAGCTTGAGAGCTCAGGGGCGCTCAGGGAATGTCACTGCTAAAATATATATACACACATATATTAATCATTCATGGGAAGGCAGAGGCAGGGGTGGGATCAGAGAATCTGACATGGCATCCCATAGCCTGTCATGCCTACCTGAGACGCCCAGTGGTTGGTGCCCATCTGTAACCCAATCACGTTCTTGTCCTCTTGCAGATAGTTGTCTGAGAAGTTCCGAGGGTTCTCCTTGGATTTCTTAGGGAACCAATTGGCATCCCCAAAGAAGAGCCCATCATCCCGGGCTACCACCAGCCCACCCAGGTTCATCAGGGTCCGCTGCACACAGGCCATGTTCTTTCCTGAGGAGAATGGGAATGTATTGGCCTCAGCAGAGCTGGTGTCCTGGGTGCTAGGGTTCCACTTCTATCCAGCATGCCCAGTTTCCTAATTCCTTTTACTCTTCATCCCCATACCCTTCATACCAACCCCTAACATGGCCCATTCTCTGTGAGACATACACATCCCTCTTGTCATCAGGGAGCTGGAAACTGGTGCCTTCTGCCTAGTCAAGATGGCCCACACCAATCTCTGGTCTCCTGGATGACAGGCCCTAGACCCTGGCCCTGGCCCACCTTCCCAGAAGTCCACAGTTTGGAAGATGTCAGTGTTGCTAATGCCGTGGTGCTCAGCTGCTTGCAGGAATTGAGAGATCTGCTCCATCTGTTTGAAGGCCTGTGTCTTCTTTACTGGGGCCTGCCCCTTGGGGTACAGTCCATTAATGAGTTCACACAGCACCATGCCATCCTTGAGCCAGTTCTGGAAATTCTGACATCCATGCTGGGGCCAGACCACATCTTTGGGGCACTGGGCAGTGATCCACTGGATCAGGATCTGCTCCAGGTCTGCATCGTGTTGTTTCCAAATCTTCTGCTGTACCTTCTGGCTCAGGCCATACACAGGTCCCCTGTTGGCCATTACAAAGGGTAGTAGCAGCTGTGGGGAGCATTCAGGTGGGCTGCACACTCAAGGCTGGGTCTGTGGCTGTGAGACAGGGATTCTGATTTTTACATTAATATTGTCATGTGTCTTTTTCCACGTTGATACACAGTACAAGTGCAGTTTTTTTCTTATTGTTTAATTTTCCATCATCTTGGCATAACCTGATTTACTTAACCATTATTTTTTCATTTAACAGATATCTATTGAATGCCAACTGTGTGCCAGGTACTATTCTACTTACTGGGGAAATAGCTGCGAACAAAACAGATAAAAAATCCCTTTCCTCATGGAATTTGTATTCTAGTGTATGTGCATTTAGGGTAGAGGAGGTAGACGTTTGAAAATTTTTATGTAAGCTATTTAGTATATTGGAATATGATAAATGCTAAGAGGAAAAAGAAATAAAACAGGGAAGTAGGATGAGGCAGTATGGAGTGGTAAGATTTAAAATAGGATGGTCAGTGCAGACCTCCCTGAGGAGAGAGATTTGACTTGCTGCTCAAAGGCAGTGAGGGAGTGAGCCATGCGGGCACATGGAGGAAGAGCATTATGAGTACAGTGAACAGCCAACGCAGCCTCCAGTGTGACTGGGAAGGAGGTGGACTCCTTGTGTGCCACCATAAAAGTTTGCTCTAACTTTGCTCTGAGTCATATAGGTTTATTCTGAGTCAGACGGAAAGCCACTGGAGGATTCTGAGCAGAGGAGTGACATAATCTGATTTATGATTTAAAAAGGAGCACTTTCACTGTTATGCTAAAGGGAAGGAAGGTGGGAGAAGGGGGACCAGCCAGGGAGCTATTGCTGTAACCCAGGTCCCAGAAGGTAGTGGTTCAGACCAGGGTTGTAGCAGCGAGGGTGGTGAGAACATTTTGAAGAAAAGTGGGGAAACAATTGGATTTCATCTTGAAAGCATCACTCTGGCTGCTGGGTAGAGAGTAGATTGTACAGGTAGGGTGGAAGCAGAGAGGCCAGCTGGGGGCTACCACAGCCATCCAGGCACAAATGATGGTGGTGTGACCAGGGTGGGAGCAGTGGCAAGCACCTCCCATTGTTCCCTTCAACTGTTCTCAGGTTTTTATTGTTATTTGTCATAAAATTATCAATGTATTTCCACCCCTTTTCCTTTTGAATTATCATTGGCTTTGCATAAATTCCCAGGAGGAGTACAAAGCCCAAGGAAATGCTTTTTATGGATTTTCATATATATATATTTCCACAGATTGTCCCCCAAAGAGTTGTATTAGTCTATCTATCTGTGGGAATGAACTGTTTGGCCTCAACCATGTCAGGGCTACTGGTGAAATATGTAAGGCTGGTGGCAGGGGCCCCCTCCCCTCCCTAGATGGAAAAAGAAAACGCTTAGTGACCTGACCTGCCAAGGACAAACTGCCAGGCCCCACTGAGAGGAACCACACCCAGATCTCCACCTGGATTCGCTCCTGGATTCCACAATACCTCCAGCCCCTCCTGTTTCTCAACGACCTTCCAAGGTCACAATAGAGAATCCCAGCTCTTCCCGCCACAAGTCCCTAGCCCTGCCCAAAGGGTATAAAAGGCCTCAGCCCCTTCAAACTGCGGCGACTTCCGGGGGCCCCGCTCTTGGGGCCCCAGAACCTCGTCCACGAGTGTATAATAAAGCCACGTGGTTTGGCCCCCCTACTCTTTCTCTTTCTGGGTCTCTTTTCTTTTCGCCACCGCCGAAAAACCTTACAAAATAGAGGATTCAGAAACCATCCAAGCAAGTGCATTGAATACTGCCAATTTAACATACCCATTTTGATCCAGCCATTTTGAGGTTGCTTTGGTACCGTTGTTCTTTTTTAAATGAAACATTTTGAACTCACCAAATGATAAAGAATAATATTACAAACATCCTGTGCTCACTACCAATATTTAACAAATGTTGATACATTGCCACATTTGCTTCTGTTGTGGCTTTTGATTACCCAATATTAGTAGCAGACACTCTGATTCTTGAGCATTCTTTCATGCCTTTGCTATACTTCTGACTCTTTCCCTGTCTTTGTCCATTATTTCAGTTCTGACACCTCCAACCTTCTTCTAACCTCGACATTAACTCATTTATTTAGTTAGTCAACTAAGAAGTTAAGTGCCTGTTCTGTGTCAGAAGTGGGAGTTACAGAATGAGGATCAGGGATATGGGGCACTGAATGAGGATGAATTTTTTTGTAGCACAAGGTTTAACATTTTGCTTTTCAGGCTATGTCTCAATATTCTCGAGATGAATTGCCTGGGTCAAAGCAGCCACATCTGAATGCCATGTGCCTAATCATAGAGCTAATTTGTGGCACACTTTGCAGTTCCCAATCCTTCTTGTTTTCTAAACATCATGTTTCCTTCAATAGCAAACTCATTTCCCCTTTTCTGCTAAATCACAGGTCAGACTGTAATGAGGGTTGGGTATATTTTCAAGAAGACAGCTGCACCCATTCTCTACCTTGTAATATTCCACCTCCTCCCTACCTTCTAACATACCCTCCATCCCCACATTAACTTGTAGGTACACCATCTGCCTCCTGTGAAATACAAGGCATCTAATAAATGCACTGTGAAGGATGCTGTTTAGGTGCTACAAACATAATGCAGTGTATCATAATGGTTAAAAATGGGGATGTTTTGCATCTGACAGACCTAGGCCAGTGTATTAGTTTCTTAGGGGTGCCATACTGAATTACTACAACTATGTGACCTAAAACAATGAATATTTTTGTCTTACAGTTTTGGAGGCTAGAAGTTCAAAATTGGCAGAGCCATATTCTCTTTGAAGGCTCTAGGGAAGAATCTTTCCTTTCCTCTTTCTAGCTTCTGTTGCAATCTTTGGCACTCCTTGGCTTATGGCAGCAATAACTTCAATCTCCGCTTTCATTTTTTTTTTTTTTTTGAGACAGAGTCTCACTCTGTTGCCTGGGCTAGAGTGCCATGGTGTCAGCCTAGCTCATAGCAACCTCAAACTCCTGGGCTCAAGCGATCCTCCTGCCTCAACCTCCCGAGTAGCTGGGACCACAGGCATGTGCCATCGCGCCCGGCTAATTTTTTCTATTTTTAGTTGTTTGGCTAATTTCTTTCTATTTATAGTAGAGAAGGGGTGAAACTCCTGAGCTCAAGCAATCCTCCCACCTCGGCCTCCCAAAGTGCTAGGATTACAGGTGTGAGCCACCGCACCCGGCCTCTGCCTTCATCTTCACATGGCTGTCTTCCTTGTGTTTCCTCCTGTGTTTTTGTATCTAAATTTCCTTTCTTCTTATAAGCACACCAGTCACTGGATTTAGATCCCACCATAATTCAGCATGACCTCAACTTAATTACATGTGTAGAGACATTATTTTCGTATAAGATCACATTCTGAGGTTCCAGTGGATATGAATTTTGGGGAGATGCTATTCAAACCAGTAGAGCTGGATTCTGGATTTAGTCTATATGCATCCTTGCAGGTTAGATGTGTTTCCTGAAGACAGCATATACTTGGCCTGTATTTTCTTATCCATTCAGCCAGCCTATGTCTCTTGAGTGGAGAGTTTAAGCCATTCACATTTATTGAGAGAACTGATAGGTAAGGTAGATTATTGTTCATTCTGTTGGGTTGGATGTTGTTGCTCTGATTTCTCTCTTGAGCCATTGTATTATCTGGCCTTTAATCTTTGGGTTTTGGTTGTTTTTATATTCGTGAGTTTTTATTATGGTGTTCCGTGTGTAACACTGTATTGAGTACTTCTTGTAGGGCTGGTCTTGTCTTGGTGAATTCTCTGAGACTTTGCTTGTCTGAGAATGTCTTTATTTTTCCTTCATATACAAAGCTTAGTTTTGCAGGGAATAAGATTCTAGGCTGGGCATTGTTTTGTTTCAGAAGAGTGAGAATGGTGCCCCAGTCTCTCCTTGGTTGTAAAGTCTCAGTAGAGAAGTCTGGTGTTATTCGAATTGGCTTTCCCTTGTATGTTACTTGCTTCTTTCATCTTACAGGTCTTAGAAGGGCCTCTTTAGTTGATATTTTGGTCAGTCTGATGACTGCATGTTGTGATGTCTTCCTGTTTGCATTGAATCTCCCAGGGGTCCTCTGAGCTTCTTGAACTTGTATATCAAGATTTTTAGCAAGGCCTGGGAAATTTTCCTCTATTATATGTTCAAATAGCTTGTCCAACCCTTGAGTGTTGTCTTCTTCCCCTTCTGGTAACCCTATGACCATCACAGTAGGTTTCTTCACATAATCCCACATCTCTTGTAGGCTTTGCTCTTTTCTCTTGTTTCTCTGCTCTATCCCTGCGACCGATTTATTTAATTGGAGGGTGTTATCTTCAATCTCTGAGATTCTTTCTTCTGTTTTATCTACCCTGTTCTTGAGACTTTCCACTGTATTTTGTAGTTCCCTGAATCGATTCTTCATTTCCAGGGGTTTGGTTAAACTTTTCTTCATTGTGTCGATTTCTTTAGTGAACTTTTGTTCTAGGTCCTGGAAGCTTTTTGTGGTTTCTTTGTGTTGGTTATTGAGTTGTTTTTGCAGGTCGGTAAGTGTTCTTATGATCCACATTCAAAATTCCTCTTCTGTCATTTTGGTTGCCTGATTTTGGTTGGTGTCCGTTTCTAGGGGGCTGGTGCTTCTCTTTGGGGGTGTGTTTTCCGTTTGGTTCTTCATATTTCCTGAGTTCCTTCGCTGATTTCTTCCCATGTTGATCAGTTGTTGTTTCTTTCCTTTAGGTTTTTGTTTTGGGTATTCACACGCCTTGTTTAGTTTCTGAGCCGTTAGGTGGTGTCTGTGGGTGAGATTCGACCACTCCCTGTATGAGTCAGTAGGTGCCTGAAAAGGCTGTGCAGGATGTCCTCCCTGTCAGTAGGTGGCGCTTGCTCGGTGGAACAGGCTATGCTGTTGTTTTTGTCCTGTTATCAGCTCTTGTTCCTGTAGGGAGGCACTCTAGTGCCTCAGGTGGTCGGTGGGGCCCTGGGACTTCCAGGTGTGTCTTTT